GAAGGCGTGATAGCTTGTGAAAGAACTGAATAAAACATGGTTCTTCCTGGAGAGACTCACCAGTCAGGGAAAGAAAAAGATACATCACTAATTAAACTATAGCACAAACAAATGGTGTGCGTCACTGATTAAAGCCGTGAGAGGCAGTGTAGCCAAAGTGGAAACACAAGCCTTCGAACTCGGGTGGACCTGGGTTCCAATTCCTGTCTGTGACTTTGTTGTCTGGTGACTTTGGATAGCTACTTGACCTCTCCCAGCTTTGCTTCTTCTCCTCTCCAGCCAGGAATGTAACATGCAGAGGTTCTGCGAGGATGGGAGATAACGTTTGTATATGCCTATCGGGGCAGTGGGCACAGTGCTAAGGTGCTCAATACCCGGTCACCGTCATTATTTGAGTATCCTGCATGTCGTGGTAGGGAAGAGAGCTTGTGCTTGTCTGTCTGGGACGGTCAGAGGAGACTTTCTGGTGTAGGGCATCCTCTAGTTGAGCCTCGAAAGACAGGAAGAAATGGAAGAATGCATTTTTAGTTGGAGGACATAACAGAATAGTAGAGGAGAGAAAGTGACGTGTCAAAGGGTGATAAGGAAGAGTTTAATTTAGGGCCTGAGACTTGTAAAGGGGGTGGAGGGAGGGAGCATGAAGATGTGGAAGACTAGGCAGTGAGGGAGGTTGCAGCCGGGTGACAGAGGGCTTTGAATGCTAGGGTGGGGGCTGTGGACCTTACTTATCAGGCTGTGGGAAGCCCCTGAAGGTGGTGGGGCATGTGGTTAGGATTATGGAATGTCATGTGATTGGGATTATGCTTAGGAAGGCCAGTCTGGCAAAAGAGTGGGGGATGACTTGAGGAAAGGAGACCGGTTAGGAGACCACTGCGACAGCCAGGCTCTGGCAGTGGGGCCTGAACAATGGGAGGGCTGGGGTAGGGGAGAGTGAGATATGGTTGGATGGGGGGTCAGGTGAGACTGCTGGAATGATTCTGAGGCAGCCAGTCAGGGCGATAGGGACATGAATGAAAATTACAGGAGTCAGGAGAAATAGCTGATGGACTCGGCGGGAAGTAGAACAGACAGAAGGGGGCAAAAATCAGGCTGGTGTGACCGTATCGGAGAAGGCTGTTTTTTCCAGCCTCTGGGATTAATGATCAGAGAGCCTGCACTAGGGTGTAGAGGTGGCCGCATGCTGCCTCTGCAGATGCTCAGCTCCCCCAGGAAAGTCCCAGCTCCTGTCAGGGGAAATGTTTCTCTCCACGCTCAATACAGCCACTTCGTAGGCTCACCCCAGAGGGGCAGTAGCAGGACACTCAGGGACCACACAGGCTTGGGCTTCTGTGAAGAGACACCTGCAAGCTCTGCCTTCACTGTAGAGGACGATTCCCTAGGGGAGGAACTCTGGGCTGGGCCGCGGCAGAGTCGTGACTGCTCTGCTGAGCCTCGGCTCCGGGAGTGCACAGTCCTGCTGGGGCAGCGCCAGGCAGACGTCCGAGCTGCCCACACAACCGGCGGTGTCAGCAGGAGAGGTTAGAATCGGCCTTTCAGTCAGGCATTATTTGAATTTATCACAGCCTGTATTCCCTCTCATCAGAAATATCTTGAAAAATGTCCTTTGCATTTTTTCTGCTTTCAGGGACCAGAACATCCAAATCCTGGGAAGAGTTTCAGCGCCCGCGGCTTCCCACGACACTGTTACCTTCCGGACAGCGAGAAGGGGAGAAAAGTAAGAGCAGGGGTTTCAGAGGAGGGCCAAGGAATTTACTTCTATGTTAGGGCCGGAAGTTTGCTTCCTGCAACACACAGACCACAGAGAACCGGGTTTCTTTTAACTCTAGATGCACATGGTAATAAGGTCATAGGTGAGGGTACATACGATTGGAATTTTTTTTTTTTTTTTTTTTTTTTTGCGGGGGGGAAAACGGGGGGTTTTTGGGTTTTTTCCTCTCCAGGATGTTATTGGCAATGATTCATCTATTTTAGGATCCTTTGTTTAGAGCCCTGCTGCTTAAAGGCTGATCCTGGGACCTGCACCACTGGGAACACCTAAGAGCTTGATAGATATACAGAACTAGAGCCTACTTCATTTTAACAAGATCCCCAGCTAATCTGACACCACAGCAAAACTTGAGAAGCGCTGCTCTGGGGCAGGGATCTTAATTTGTGGGAGATTATTTTCTCTTTATGTACTTTTGTATTCTTTGACTTTTTCCCAAAACGGCAAAGGAAACAATCACTGGGTTTCTGGATTCTTAGTGATTCATGATCAGGCTTCAGTGGTTCTATGAACTCTAAAATTACAATTAAATTTTTATTTTTGTTTTTCTGTGGATGAGGCTGAAAATCATTGGATTTTCAAAATCTTTTCTGATCTTAGCAGGGATAAGGACCATTGCTGGGGGAAATATTGGACAAGAGGTGTGTTTTAGTCAACTTTCTCTCCAAGTCTCAGCAGCTATTTTAACAAATGTTTATTTTTCATGTACTTTGCATGTCAATGGCTGTGGCTGTGTTGTTGCTGTGGGTCAGTGTCTTAATCTGTTCAGGTTGCTATAACAAAATACCATAGACTGGGTAGCTTATAAGCAACAGAAATTTATTTCTTACTGTTCTGGAGGCTGGGGAGTTCACAATCAAGGTGCTGGCGAGGGCCCGCTTCCCGGTTCACGGACAGTGCCTTCTCACTATGTCCTCATATGGTGGAATGGACAAGGGGTTTCTCTCGAGCCCCTTTTAAGAGGGCACTAGTCCCATTCACTGGGGTTCTGCCCCATGATCCAATCACCTCTCAAAGGCTCCACCTCCTAATATGATCACCTTGAGGGTAAGGACTTCAACCTATGAATTTAGAGGGGACATGAACATTCAGACCATAGCAGTCAGCTTCAGTCTGCTCCATGTGTCTTCCCATTCTGGAGCCTCGGTTGAAGGAGCAGTACTTCTGTGGTCCATGCCCTTCCCAGGCAGGCAGAGGACCAACAGAGAATCCAGATGGAAATGTGTAATTCCATTTTGAGCCCCTGGATGCTCGTTACTTCTATGCACATTTCACAGCCCCCATCAAGTCATGGGGGATAGCCAGTTAAGTGGGGTGGGGTAATGAACTGCCTATAAGGAGGCACCTCAGGTCTCCTGGCAAAATGTATGGATATGTTCTCCACTTACAGGGAGGAAGCAGATAGTTTGGAACAATGAGAGAGTCAAGCACATCATAAAGATGTGCCAGTGCACAGTCTCCAGATTAGGAGTCAGGACCAGCCCTGATACCTGTTTGCCTTGAACAGCCAGATTTCTGTGCTTGGACTGGATTTGCATCCCAACTGTTGGCTCAGTGTGTCCACTGTGAAGGCCTGCTGTTAAAACTAGAATCCTGTTGCCAAGAGTCACTCTTTGTCCAGGCCTCGCCATGTACGTTAATGACATACCCAGACTGTACACGTTAACCATTCTGGACTCTTGTTCTTATCCACTGTATCCACTCAGTCATTTATGCCAGCACTGCCTTCCAAGCCACTTAACTCCTTTTCCAATCCTGGCACTGCCAGCCCAGTTAATTTCTCTTCCTCCAGCCCATAATATGTTTACAGGAGTTCAGTTTTGAAACCAAGGTGTTCTTATAGGATGCCGTCTTCAGCTGGACACTGCTCTGACCAAGGCCTGGAACAGGGCATTAGGCATTAGTCTTGCTCAACAAAGTTTTTTTTTTTTTTTTTTTAATTGAGCTGAATTAGAATTTTCTGCAAGCTTCAATGCATTCTCTGGGCCTCAGTTTCCTCACCTAAAATAAAATAAGAACAATAATAGCACCTACCGTACCTGGATCCAGGTGTGGTTATGAGGACCAGATGAACAAATAAATATGAAATAGCCTGGAAGAGGTCAGATTGCTTCAAGATGTCACTAGAGAAGAATTCCACAACTTTAGCTGTGGGTAAATTAAAACCACATCCGTGGTGATGGTGGTGAAGGGCAGAGCTTCAGAAGGTCGCAGATCATAAGTGCCTTCAACTCCTAGATCCCATCTTTCAAACTGCAGCTATTGTGTTGCTAGCTAACATCTATTGAGTAGTGCGTTCCAAGCACAAGTATGAAAATGCTTTTCACATAGCATCCCATAAGATGTTCACAATCTCTAGAGACAGATTATACCTTGGCCATTTTGTAAATAAGAAATTAAAGCTTAGAGAGGTGCTATAACTTGTCCGAGGTCACACAGGGATTCAGAGCCAAAGTAAGACTCCACCTGTAGGTCCCTGATTCCAAGTCCAAATCTCTTTCTCTTCCACTGTTCTGCTTAGGGGATCATGATGCAGGAAGTGGTGGGACCCTTGGGAGTATGCTCTACCATCCAAGGGACACTCTTTGACAACCACTGAAAGTCTGCCTTTGCTCTCCCGCCATTATTCCCTAGGTTCTGAAGCTGCTGCTTGTGGCCTGGGACCGTCGCCTCATCTTTGCCATTGGTACCTCCAGCACCACGGGCGAGTCAGATACTGTCATCTGGAATGAGGTCCACCACAAGACAGAGTTTGGCTCTAATCTCACTGGCCATGGCTACCCAGATGCCAATTACCTGGATAACGTGCTGGCTGAACTGGCTGCCCAGGGCATCTCAGAGGACAGCACTGCCCAGGAGAAGGACTGAGGCGGGAGGGGCTCTGAGTTGGGAGGTGCCATGGGGACTGCAGGGCAGGAAGTGGGAGAGTCAAGGTGGAAGTTGGTGCAGTGCCCTCACGACTCGACTCTGTCATCTCCCCTCCTGTCCTGTCTCCATCCCCCATTCCTCCCAGCCACAGAGGAGAGCTAGACTGAATAAGGTGACCTCATTCATAAACCTCATCTGACACAAAGGGGACATGGGATGAAGGCCATCCTCGGTCTGTTCCCATGGAGTTTCGGTGCTGGGTAGGCAGGATCCCCCTCCCCCTGCTCACCCCCGAGTAGGGCATGGTCAGCACACTTGGGGTATGGACAGTGCATGGGCACTCCATACCCTTGGCCTTGTGAAGCCTGAGGTTCCTTGCCTCCACTGGCTTCTTGCTGCTTCCACTCTGCTTTGAGAGCAGAGTTTCTGCTTTTCTCTCCTCCACTGGAGGCAGGGAGCTGTCACTGTGCAAGATTGGGGGGCAAAGGGGTGAACCGCTAAACTGCTGTGACATCAGAAATCGGATGCTTCATTGCAGGGTGAGGAAGCACTTCTGGCTGAGAGAGTCAGAGAAGCAAAAGTCCCTGGGAGCATGTTCAGGTCTCATCATAGTCCTTGGCTTCTCTGGACCCTCCTTTCCTCCTCACACCTTTGACCTGTCCAAAGAGGCATCTGGTTCTCTTGTGTGGGTGGATGGACTCTGGGATTCCTCTCTGGGGTGGCATCCCATGATGCTGTTTCCAAGCCCCTCTCTGATCAGCCCAGAGCCTGCATCCCATGAGCATCTCAATGTCCTCAGGGAGAGGAGCCTGTAGCCTCCCCAGTCATCCCAGACCAGCTCAAAGATTCCATGAGTTTCATCAAGTCACTGTGAGAAGAGCCCACACTGGGTTCTGTGCCATCTGTGTATGTGTGTGTGTTTCGGGGGGTGGGGGACGTGTGCACATCACTGGCCAGGTTGGTGGAGAGTCCCATGATGTCCCTGCACTCTGTTCCACAAGATGACCGACAGGGATCAAACAGCCAGGCTGTGGTCCCTCGACTTTCCTCACCCTTTGCCAACCCACCCCATAGTAAACTTAACCCCTGATGGAGACAGCTGTGCTTGGGGAGAGGTGAGCAAGTGAGGGCTGGGCTGGTCCCTTTTTATATTTCTTTTCAAGATTGAATCAGAGCCGATCTCATATGAGGGCTTCAATCCATCTCCCTGCACATTTGCTGATCAGAGCCCAGAGGAGGTGCTGGGCCCCTCACCTAGTGCAGGTCGACTCAGAGCATGCAGGGAGCCTCCTCACCTCATTCCTGACAGGGCTGGGACTGCATTATGATCTGGTCCAACCTGCATCTGCATCATGTCCCAAGACCTTGTCCGTCTCCTCCCCAACATTCCTCTTGCCTTTGGCTCCCATTGAGGAATGGATTGGGGGTCAGGGAGGAGAGATGGGGGGCATCAGGAATGGAAACCTAATTCTCCCCTTTGAAAGTGGGTTCTTTGAACTATGTGTTTGGGGGAAGTTCCTCTAGATACTAATTTGAATTTATATACCTCATGTTTTGGGGGTTTGATGTGTGTGTATATATATATATATATATGCATATATATTTCATAATATTTGGAAGGTTTTTGATGATAGAAAAATTGAAACAAAAGAACCTTCAAAAATGGTACTTAAGTCAGAACCAGAGGCCAAGCTTTCATGAGCTCCGCAGCTGTTTGTGGCCAGTGGCTTCACCTGAGTGTCACCCAGTTCCTTGGGACCTGCTGGTGCTGAGCCTTTCCTCAGTTTGCAGATGGCTACAGGGATGGTAATAGGCTCCACCAGAGGGAGCTCTGATAGAAGGAATTGTTCCTGCCATCTCAGTCTCAGTCTCTCCTATCACCTGGCTGTCATTTTATCTCACCAGCAGACCAGGAGACTGGTCCTTAGTCCACTGCACTACAGGGCAATTTCCTGCCACAGTCGGGAAGGAAATTTCTGACCTAAATGGAAGAGACATCCCTGTGGTGTTTAATGACACGTCATTTCCCTTGACAGGTTACCACAGACCAGTGGTCACTGGAGAGCCTCATCGTAGGCTTGGTACCCTCTCTGAGGGCCTTCAGCGCCCTTGTCAAGTATCTGTTAGGCTTCTTGGCCACAGGGATGAGGAAATAGACTGAGGGTCCATGGGTAGAAAAACACAAGGAGGCAGTAGGAGGTGGGGAAGAAAAGAAAGCATGCTTTCATGACTGGAAATGGGCAGAGGGGAGAGACTGGTTTCCCTGCATCAGGCAGAAGAAGGCGTAGGTGGGGAAGGGACCTGCGAGGATGCATAAGGGAGTCAGAACACAGTGGCAATACCACTTGGAGAGTTAGTCTTCATACCCTCAGGCCTTCCCCCTAGGACTTTGACCGTGTCTAGGCCCTGTTTCTTTTCCTCTCTGCAGATGCTCAGTCAGGGCTACCTCATCTTCATGCCGCTTCTTGTGGGACTTTCTGGGCAGAAAGGATCTTGAGTTTCCTTTCTCACATGGGGCTAGGCAAGGTAGGGAGCATTTCTTTTCTCTTTCTCTTGTGCCAACCTGGAAAGGCACAGTCTTGGTTTCAGCAAGAACCATGCCAGCCGAGCCCTGTGTGTCCACTATTTTGGCACTGGGTGTCTTCCCACCAGAAGCCCTGCTGTGCCCCCTGCCCGAGCAGGGGATCCCATGCCTTTCCTTTCACGGTCTTGCCACCAGCAGCCTCTCCCTTCCTGAGTCTCCAGGGATGACAGATGGGATTGGAGACAAACCTTGTCAGCTGCTCATCCCTCAAGAGGTTCACTGTGTCTGTGTGGTTGTGTGTGCCTTTGTGTCTCCATTCTCCTCCCCTTTCTGTAAAATATGGATTTCTCTGTGGGTTTATACTTTGTCAAAAGTACTCGTCCAGGTACTGCACTGTCGCGTGCGTGGGAGGACTGAGGGAAGGCCCATGTGGTACAGGAAGAGTCCCGCTCCCTTTCCTTTTCTGTGGTCACAGGCATTTTAGTGTGCGTGTAGGGGGGTGTTCTGGGAGGGGACAGGTGAACGTCCTAATGTAAATTGTCTGTAGCTGACGTGTTTTGAAGTCCTTGGTGTTGCTCTGTGAGAGGACATCGCCACCTGGTGCTCATGAGGTGTATGTGCAGAACAATAAATGGCAAATGAACAACCACAAATTGTTAACCTTCTGCTTTTTGTAGTTTAAAGCACCTGTTTGTGAGGTATTTGGGTTACCTCCCCGAGTCTATAAGCAACCACAAGACCTTCCACTGGATGGGAGGGAAAAGTCCCTTTTCTCTATTTTTTATTGCCACTTCTTTTCCACCCCCCACATTTGACCTGATTTGACTTCTTGTTCCCCAAAGAAACAGACCGCATGGCAGGGGAAATAAGCAAATGAACTTAGGAACTTATAGGAGAAAAACTCTTAACAGTTGACTCACTGAACTGTTCCCCACCCCCAGGCTGTTTACTCTACAGCAGTGGTAGGCACTCTTTGGAGTGTTACCCTGCCCCTACCGTTTCCTCCAGGAGAAAATTTTGATTTTGCTTTCTGTTTACTTTATCTTTAAAGTCACAGATATTTACTTCTTAAAGGTCTGTCTCTATTTCCGATAGCCTACAGAGTGCGGTTTTCTTAGAAGCCAGGGTTGGTCTTTGCACAGACCCCAGCCTCAGATCACCAGGTAGGAAAACAGAGACTGCAAGCCTCCAGTTCCCTGTCACCTCTGAATTCTGACTTCGTAAAATGACTTGAATGTAAACTGCAAACTCCCACGTCCTGATTTCATACAGATGAACGGTCAGACACAGTGTTCCTTGATATGTATTTTAATGCATAATTATGTGCGATGTTGTTAGTGGAAATAGAAATTTGTGAAGAGCTTTTCATTTTAATGAGAAATTAGTGCATTAAAAGTCTGAGAGCCTTTGGCTATACTTTGCCTTTCTGACTCAGTAGTCTTCAAAGAATTCACAGGAAAGTCGGTATTTGCAGAAAAGTGGTTAGCTTGGCTGAAACCTAGAAAACACCCAGAACCCACAAAACAGAGGTTTAGGAGAACATTTAAATGCTTAAGAGGGAGGGTTAAGTGAAGAGGTTGTGGAAATCAGTGTTCCCCCTTGTGCAGTCAGGAGAGCAAGGTTCCGATTCTGTTATTCACTCCTCTGCATCTCAGTTGTAAATGAGTGTCTTCATCCTCATCTTCTCACAGGCTGGTAGGCTTCTTAGACGAAAGGCCTATTCTAAGCCCAAGCTCCTGATTGTGAACATTAACAAGGAGAGAACAAATTACCCTTCATAGAAGATAACTAATGACATTGGACTTGGTGAATAAGTATATAATTTTTTTAAAATGTCGTGGAAGTAATTACAATTAGTGAGACTGGTATTCAACTTGAGCAAAGCCCCAGATATTGCCAGGTGACAATTGTGTATACTGTCAGATGCCCCTGAAACTGAAATAAATGTGTCACAAGTGTTGCTGATGCCTTTTTCAGTTCACTTAAAAACATGGTTTGGACCATGTCAGCCCCCTTTCTGCTGGAAAAAGAAAAAAAAAAGGTGCATAATTGGTGCTTTCTACTCTGTTTTGGTTTTAGGGAGAAAATAATACTCAGATGTGGGCTTGCTTTGACTTCTTGCTTTTCTCATCCCCAGAAAAATGCAGAGTTCTTGTTGGAATGTGAGGGATGTCTGTGTGTGTGTGTTATGTCTCTGTGTGTGCGTGTGCATGTGATGGGAGGACAGGAAGGGTAAGGACCACCCACAGAAGAGAGAGAAGATGTACTCTGGTAATACAGGACATGAGCCTGCAATGCTTGATCTGTCCAAATCTCTGACTCCTTTTGATGCCTCATTCATAATGAGCTAAGAGGAGGAAATCAAGCAGTTGGTTGTGGATAAAAATTCCAATTTCTCCTGAGCACCACAATATTTTCCAGTTTTTACCTTTTTTTTTTTTTACTTATACCTTGTCTGCAAACCATCCCTCCCCACCCCCCAACCTCCTAATAGAAGTTTATAAGTTAAAATATTTACTGAGAACTTAATGACACTGGTTAAAAGTCCAAGAGTGGTCTGGTCTAAATAAGTATCAATTGTGGAGCAGTTGGAGAGAGTGGAATGGGTGTAGGCAACAGTTTTCTTTGCAGATGCTGTTGAGATGACCCCGAGGACATGACACAGTCCATCAACATGGAATCCTCAAAGCTAAACAGCTGTGGCCACACAGGAATTCCTGTGTCTTTTCAGGGCTCTGAAGCATGAAATCCAGACAGCTTTTTAAAAAACAAAATAGAAGGAGGGTAGTGCTTAAAGGCAGAAATTCTTATTGCTCACAAATTGGAAACCACTGCAGACTTCAGATTAAATGCATAGTTTCCAAATTCAAATGTCAACATTCTTCCTCCTCTCTTTTTGCATAGATGCATTCAGGTGAAGACGTTAGTGATGCACATGAGGAAAAGACACCCCCTTCATGTTTTAGTCCCCAGGATGGCTTTTTCTTAAACAGTCACAGCTGCTCTTTTCCCCACCCTCAACCTTGTTCATGTAGCTCCATTAATTTCCTGGCCCAGAGACCTAAACAGGAGAACATAAAATCATACCTGCTTTTTGTTGCACTTGTCACTTCAGTACTTAGGAAGGCAGAAGTGGAGAAGAAAGCAGTGAAAGGCATGCTTGAGGCTCTGGCCAGCGATAAGAGAAAGCATTTCCTGGGAAAGATTTAATTAAGCTGGACTCTGCTCCTGCTCTCAGTCAAAGGTGTCTCCAGTTGCTGCCATGCCTGGAGCCAAACTCTGCCTCTCATCTTCCATTGACTGGTATTCCTTCTTCTTGTACTTCCGGGTGCCGTAGATGGCCAGGGTGATGACCACAGCCAGGAGAGTGGTGACCCTCACTGCGACCCCATCTGCTGCCCCTCCCGACAGACTACCACCGTCCCCACGGACGACCTTCATGGCCCTGCGCAGCTCTGACGGCTCTCCTAGCCTCCACTGGTGGGTCTGGGAGTCTTTGATCCAGGATCTTGCATTCTCAGTATTGGTCACTATGACTGTGTTGGTGGCAGCCTGGCTCATGAGGGGTGGCTGGGTGTAGGGCGGGAGCCTGGCAGGGGGTAGGGTTCCTCCTGTAAAGAGCCCAGCCTTGACACAGTAGGACACTTGACATCCATCGCTGATGAGGGCTAGGTGTTGGCTGAAGCCCCCAGGACATTTTTTCAGAGAAGGTGCCCCTATGTCTCTGGATATGGCAGAATCTGCCAAGGGGTTCCCAGCTGTGCAGCTGAAGAACCCACCAAAAGGGACTGAAAACTTGTATCCTAACTCATAATCCAGAGAAGCACATACTCTGAGGCTTTCAAAGAGTTTCAGTGGGAAGTAGCCAGCTGGACAAGACTGAGCATTTGTCAAGGGGTTTATGCTCTTACTGCTGAAGAGGCCACCAAAAAGCAGTCCTGAGTATTTAGGTTCTTGGCCACTGGCTACACACCAAAAAGCCTTAAATTCAGCCTTTGCCACCCGGAACACATCTTCGCACACTGTCTTGCAGAAGATGAAGAATTTGCAGTTCCGTGTACACTCCAGGTGGTTGTAACCCTCCTCGTGGATCTGGGATTGCAGGTGGACCGGGGAGTAGCCAGAGGGGCAGGAGAAATTGCCAGTGAGTGGATTTTTCTGCTCCAAGTTTTGGCAGAGGAGGACAAACTTATTCTCTGAGAGCTGGGTGCATTCCTGATAAACCCCACCGAAGGAGAAGTTGGTCATTTTCCCCTCACAGGAGCCATCGTCAGTATTAGCCTGAAAATTGAAGTTGGGAGAATTGAGATCTGTGCACCCGGGGTAGGTGTTGAACGAGTAATAGTGTTTCACAGCAGCTTCCACTGTCTTCGACACCTTCTTTACCAAGGGGCCTGGCAAGTCTGGCAGCATGTTGGGGTTGATGAAGAAGTGCAGGGGCAGGCCAACACGGTCCACGGCCACCAGGTTGTTGGCAATGCCCTGCTGCCAGGCCTGGAGGGTGATTCCTGGGTAAAAAGGAACCCCGCCAATGCTCTGCATCCTGGAGTTGGTTCGGTTTGAGAGGTAGCTCTTTATAAAGGCATCCTGTGAAGTGTAGTTCTCCTCAAATTTGAAGTTCACGATGTTTTGGAAGGTAACTCCAGCAGATGCAGTTACGGCACTATGGCTACTCTGGCTGTTCTGGAGGAAGGAGGCTCTAAGGTAGTCCTCCTGAATAAGAGCAGCTCCAGCATCCACACTGGTGATGACGTGGGTGCCATAATTGAGGACCAGGAGCTCTGCCAGGTAGGTGGCCATCCTCGTCTGGTTGTTTTCTAGACAGTCAGAGATATCCATGATCTCCTTTCTAAACCCCCACCTCAGTTTTGAAGCTGAGTTGATTTTGACTGTGTAGACAAGGTTTCTCACCTGCACTCGGGTCGTTATAGCTTGGTCCTTCACTTGAAGGGTCTTCATCCTTTGGAACTCGGGGGAGAATTTGCCATTGACTTTGGAAAAAGAGAGCTCTGTGTTGATGGAGAAGGAGGTGCTGCTCTGGTAATTCATCCAGGATTCCAGGATTTCTGAGTTCATCTCCAGGTTGCTCTGTTTCTGGGGAATGGTGAAGATTTCATCAGGGATGATGTACTGTCCATCCTCTGTGGTCCTGCAGTTGGTATAAGTCAAGTCCATCACCCATCCCATGTCCACATTCCGCAGATTATCCCAGCCCCCTCCAGGTAGGACTTCCAGGACCGGTAGTTTCAAGGCATTCTTGCATTTTTGAAATCCAACATTATCTGTTTCCCCCACAGATAAGTCTGTTTTAGCCCATGCTGCCACTGTGCAGAAAAGGATGGCAGTCCTGAAGCTGCTCATGGCTCAGACAGCCCCAGCCACACACCAGCCCTAAACAGCAGCCAGTGAGCTTGGTGCAAAGAGAACGAGTGGGAAAGAGAGAAGTTGCTGAACGGAAACTTCAAATTCTCCTAAAGCCACCAGTTCCTCTTTAGGCTGATTTAATTGCAAAATGGGGAAATGAGAGTGGGGTGGAATACAAATGTTCAACAGAACTTTGAAAAAATTATGCTGTCCTAGATATACAAGCACAGCCCTATACTCTTAACAGTTGACTCACCCGAACTGTTCCCCACCCCCAGGTTGATTACTCTACAGCAGTGGTAGGCACTCTTTGGAGTGTTACCCTGCCCCTACCATTTCCTCCAGCAGAAAATTTTGATTTTGCTTTCTGTTTACTTTCTTGGACTTGATGTTTTAAATTTTCCCTGCTATCCTCTCCTGGGACTCTAATACCAGTTTCCTTTTACTGGAAATGCCGAGGTAAATGGCAACATCACCCCTGCTGTGACACCCTGCCTCCATCACCTCTAATTGAGGCTAGCTGTAGGTCAAGGCCAAGCCCTGGGTTTTCCATATTCCTGAGGGTGGAGGCTGTTCCCACAGAAGAAAAGAATGAAAACATCACACTCACATCCTGTGGGGTTTCAATGTTATAAACCGTAATAGTCCAGGCTTTGGAGATGGCATTATCTGGAGCAGAGCTGAAGGGGCCTGCAGAAGATTTCACCTGCTGTATGCCGGGAAGACTCCCGCACTGTCCTAAGCACTCATGGAGAGGGCGAGGGGCTCCCACTGCGTTGTTGTTTCCTATCAGATAGAAATGCTCAAGGAAAGACAAAACCCACACTAAAATCTAGATTTTGATTTATCAGAAGTAGACAGTGGCCAAGGAATATACGTATATGTGTACACACATTTGTGTATGCTCTGTGTGCGTAGTTGGCAATAAGTTGATACCTGCTGTTATACCTTTTTCACTCCATTGGTAAGGGCATGTAACCAGTATAGGTGCATAAAAAAGAATATGCCTCTTCATGACTCATTTTTTCAAAGCCATAATTCATTTGTTATATTATTAAGAGAACATAATTTATGAATTTCCTTTGCATGATGATGCCAGGTGCATTAGGCCTTGTGATTTAGAACAATGTTTCCAGTCCCATTGATCTAGTACTAGCATTCATCAAAGCACATCTCTGCTAATTATTTGTGACAGTTAAGGTGTGTTTTAGTACATATAGTGATAGAGAGTCCACAGAGGTTAATGAAGCTCCCAGTTGCATCCTCATGGCTCCCCAAATCATACCATGAACAAGATGCAGGGCTGAGACGGAAAAAGGTATGTTTCAATTCACAGCTATCACTCCAATATCACCAGGTTACATCCTGGAAAAAAGGTTCCTGGGAATCAAATTACCTCAGACTGTCACAAATGCAGCTGAGAAGTGTTTTTAGAAAGAATGAGGCCAGTTGCCCAACTTCACAGGCTGAGCTTCACTAGCTGTTATTAATACCTGCATGGTGTTCTGTAAATCCAGAAATACCACATTCTGGGTCTATTATGCCACAGTTATCATGTGTCAGGGAACTGACACCATCAACCCAAGGGAGATTAATTTATGAATCAGTGTTCATTCTGTACTTGGCTAAAGAACCAAACCTCTGCACAGGATTTCCTGGATAATTTCTAAATCAGTTATTTATAAATTTATACCTCAGAAGAGTGATCCCAGAATTAGAAAAAATAGAGTTGAATGCCCTTGAGTACTTCCAATAAGCCTGTCAAAACACTCGTATCTGTACACTTCTCCTCAAACTGTTTCAGGGATGGTTCATCAGAATCAATAAACTCTCACTCACATTGTTTTGAAGACAGGATGACAGTTTCTTAGTCTTTGTTTTCTCATTTTTAGATCCTGTTGAAACCTCACTCTCCTGAAATGAGAATACAAGCAAGGTGAATACAGACAATTCCATATTCAGGTATCCCTATATCTCTAAACATACAGTCATTGTCTTTTCTTTCTTTCTTTTTTCTTTTTTTTTCTTTTTGCTACAGCCTTCCTCTTCATTTTTATCATAGAAAAAAATTGGAAATAACTAAAAAGCCAAGAGTGAAATTATATTGCATCCAACTGGCAAGATAATTTATAGCCATCACAATTATTTCAAACAATTTTAATAACATGAGAAATTCTTTGCCACGATGTTGTGAAAAAAGCATGAACTATATTCAGCATAACCCCAACTGTGTACAAATACATATAACTAGAGGGATTTACACCAATCTGTTGACAGTAATTATATCTGGTTGGTAGATTTTACGAATTATTTTAACTGTTTCCTCTTCCTTTTCTGTGTTCTTTGAGTTTTCAACAATGAGCATGTCTTTACCCATTTGACAAATTTTTATTGAGAACCGACTAAGTATCAAACAACATTGGGTAGTAGGGAAATACTCAGGAAAATAACCAAGAAATGTGCATTTAAAAAACAAATTATTTCTGGAATTTTCGTATGTCTGAAATGATCCAAAGCCTATAGACTCTGTGATTACTGTGCTCAAGGAAGTTCTCTTTTCAATTCATGAGAAAACAATGAAAGGAGAAGTGCAAGTGATGGGAATTTCTGCTACACATAAATTTGCAAGCCTGGAGCAGGAAGAGCCTGCTCATAATGGTCAGGTGCGAGGAAGTGGAGGCAAGAATTTGACCTGCACATTTCACCCACACCTTTCCTGTTTTACTCTGTTCACCAGCAATTTCCTCTGCTTTTCCTTGTACTGAAATGCATATTCGAGTGCATAAACTCTCCAGATGGCCACCCTAGGGCCTGAGGCTAAACATTGAACTTTGGTCTCCCATAAAAGGTATGCATCTGGGTTGCTGATGAACTATTTCACTTCCTCCAAAAAGAGGCAAGAGGGAAGTCCCATGTCTGCTTTCTTTCTCAATTTGAGCACGTGCAAACTTCTGACACCATCTCATGCAGAACCAAACCATGATTCAGGTCTGAAAGTCAGTTCTGTGTGGGCTTTTAAGTGGTGCAGATGTTTCCTACTTCTGCCTTTCACCTGTGGCCCAAAATGGGGAGGAAAGCCTGGTTGTGTTTGCTGGGACCATTCCCTTTCTTATTTTCAGCAGGAATCAAGGAGAACCATCTGAAAACTGACAGTTAAATAATTGCTACATGAATCAGTGAAGTATGGCTTTTACAGACTCTGAAATAAACTGTGTTCTGGATAGTGTAGGAAGTATCAGTGAACAAAGGGACAATATTTCTTTTTTCAACAGTTGATTCCTGACCTGATGTTTTGAGAGTTGCTTTGCTAGTCCCTTGCCCTCAGAGGTTGCTTTTCTCACCAGGATTGTTCATGTATTGACCACAAAAATAAGAACATAGTGTGTTGGGCTAGGGCCCAAAGACCTTCCAAACACATTGTGCAGACTTGGTCACAAACCCCTCATGTGCAGCTCATGAGCTAGGTAATTAGAAAAGATCCTGGGAGCCGTAAGTAAAAATTATTAGGCTTTATTCAGATGCAAGCTCAGATAGCTAGCAGCAGCTGCCCTGGTGGCCTCCCCAGGCATCCCGAGGGCACTGTGGATCAGAGCCATGTGTCCTTTATACTTTGCGAGTCAGATAACCAAGGAACACCTGGGTGTGCATGAACATATTTACATTAAACAGACTAGGTCGTGCTGGCAAGATTCCAAACATCTGAGGGATCCTGACCATTTATATTTCAATTTTCCTTACATAGTGGTTTCATGATTCCTTTTAGTCTGCAGGGTAAAAACAAGGTCCATGTGAAATTCTGCATATTCCCATTAAGAGCTAGGCCAGAATTTGGCAGTCTAAGCCATTTGATTTCTTTTTTTTATTGGCACTCTTTTCCTTTCTCTCTTCCTCCCACTTTCTCTGATCCTTTTTCTCCTCATCAGCTATTCCCTGTCCACTTTTTTTGTTCTCTTTGCCATTCGGAAATTTAGGTTTGAAGGACACACATCTGTGACTTAAGGTGGTACTCCCACTATACTAAAGAAGCAGGAATCCCTGATGTGTCAAAGACCGAGGCTTTAGGCTGCCACTCTGCTATTCTAGGTCATGGCAGGCATCACCAGTAGGTCAGACAGCTGATTTCCACTGAGCTCTGCCTTGACATGATTCTCAACACAGTTCTCCAGGACATTCCAATGAATGCCTATTTTATCAATCCATTAAAAATATATTTGTTAAGCATCTGTTATTGGTAAGGCATTCACAGTAGGTGCCAGGCATGTGAGGGGTCTGGTGACCCAGCCTGGCATGTGAGGGGTCTGTGACCCTGTCTGTACAATGGGTTTGAAGGATTTCTCTGTGAGCCCCCCTAGCCTTAGCAAGACAATTGGCTACGTAGGCAGGATTCCAAAAATAGCTCTAGCAATACATGGAAGAACCAGCTTACCTGACTTGCTTGTTTTCACTTTAACCTATTCATGGGTATTTCAAGTAGAAAGAAGAATGATGGTAATTTTTACTTTGCTTCAGCTCAAAGGCCATCTGAAGATCCCATGGTAAAAGATGGAAAGGCTGAATGTTAGATTGGCTTTGTGTTACCCAGTAATGAAACAAGTATAGAAATATGAAATCTGCTAGCAGTTAACCCAGAGAGACCCAATGCCACTCAGTCTCTTCTTTTGCTCAAATCTTCCTCAAAGAGGAAGTCACATGACAGGAAAGATGTGGAGACTGAGAAATGAGGACATAGGAGAAATTCAACTGGGTTGTCCTGTTGTTCTTAAAGCTCTATACATGTAAATATTTTCAGCTGAAGGAGAATGCAAGAGATACTTCCCATATTAGGCTGATGTCATTAGGATGGGGAATGGGGTTTCCTGACTGCTCAATGCTTGTGAAGCTTAGCATGGGGTCACCAGACCCCTCACATGCCTGGCTGGGTCACCAGACCCCTCACACGCAGGTCCACGAGCTAGGTAATTGGGAAAGATCGTGGGAGCCAATGGCAGATGACACGA